TCCTGTCCTGTCCTGTCCTGTCCTGTCCTGTCCTGTCCTGTCCTGTCCTGCCCATGATTCTGGTGTGAATTTTGATTATAGCAAAAGGGCCATCTGGGAACCACACAACTCACTGATAAGGCAGTAAATCTGCTGAGGGACACTGAACAGCTCTGGCTCATCTTCTCTCTGGCTCACCCTCTCACCAAATTAGGCTATGCTTCCTTCAGTTTGTCTGTTTTCTTTCTACTCTTGACAGATCCATGATTTGTTCCTGAGCTTCGATGACACTCCTCTCGGGGCAGCCTCCCTGGCCCAGGTCCACAAGGCAGTGTTGCATGATGGTCGGACAGTGGCAGTTAAGGTCCAGCACCCGAAGGTTCAGGCTCAAAGCTCCAAAGACATTCTCCTGATGGAGGTGGGTACTCCCCGCTTTCTCTTGCCTGCTTCTCAGTCTTGTTTTTCCTCAGGAGCCAGACAGCTTCCCAGATAGTTACTCAGGCTAGTGGGTGGACTGTGGCCTCTGAGGAGCAGAGTGGGAGAGGAGAGCTGAGACACGACCAAGGCTGTGTCATAAGAGCTTGGAATCACAGCCGGGCAGGGTTGGTCAGTTCTTGATTCACCCTGGAAATGCTCTGGGATGCGTCTCAGAACATGATGCACAAGCTGATGGGGCCAAGCTGATGGCGACCTGAGTCACAGGGAGCCCTCCATGGAGATGCAGTAGAAATGAGAAGAGCCAAAGGTGATCTCCTCAGGGGTAGACAGAGTTGTATCATAATGTTAGATTATAGCAAGAAAGGACATATATGCCACGGCCCAGAAAAATGGTGTGCAGATCACACAGAAATATTCATGCAGATGACTCATTTGCTTATCTGACATTTGTTTTGAATGAACAAATATAGATGCTTGGAAATGGCCCTCTAAGGAAATCCCTAGAGGGTCTTGTGTGCTCCTGGAATCTTCTACATGTGTGTCTAGACCAAGGTGTGTGTGTTGGGAGGCTGAGTGTGTGCTCCTACTATTGGAGAAGAAGCCAGGACTCCTACATGGAGGTCAACAGTCTGTCACTTCTGCATGTCCCTTTCCTTCCTAGACTCTCTTCCTTTTCTTCTTAATTTAGACTCAACCTTGAGCTCATTTGAAACCAAACATGTGTACTGAGGTCTGAAAAAGTGAGCTTTGTCCCCACCCTTCCCATGGAGACAGGCATGTAAACAAAGAATCCTCAAGTAGGAACCTGAGCTCTCAACATAGAAAGGCACTGTGCCTGCATGTGTGGAGTTGACAAGGGGACTTCTCTGGTGGGTTAGTGCTCTTGTGCTCTTGAAGGACTTATGAGACTGCTGGGCAGGATAAAGATAGCTTAGCATGGGGGCGAGCTATCCAAGGCCAGGAGTAGACAGAGCTTGGAGAATGCTCATGAGCTCAGGTAGTGGGAGTGATTGGGAGTAAGACTGGGAAGATAGGCAGAACAAGAGAGAGAGCCCTTATCCCAGGCTCGGGTGTGGAGCAGTAGCCACAGTCAACAGTGACATACTTGTTTGACTGACAACATTTGCGTTTCTCAGTAGTCAGTGGGGAACCATTTAAGAATTCTAATCAGGAGACTGTCATGATCAGATATGTGCTGGAAATCAAAGTGGGCTGGCAGTCTGGAGAATATACTGGGGAAGCACAAAGTCTGCATAGCCAGGAGACTAATCAAGAGCTGCTGTGTTGGTGTGAGAAGGATAAAATAGGAAGCAAGAAAGAATCAAGGGGGTACTGGAGAGAGCTGTGTTCCAGTGGGGGAGTCTTCCAGGTCTTGTGACCAGTTCTTCATTGGGAGGGGCCAAGGAGGAGACGAAAATGTATCTTTGATTTCTGGTGTAGTGATTACTATTGGCTGTCTTCGCCTATGTATATCAGCTAGAGTCTGGTTGGGGAAAAAAGACATTGCTCTGGGTTAGAAAAGTATCGAGTATAGGAGGTTCCAGAAGCATAATGGAATGGGAGTATTGTTGCAGCCATTTTGGTAAATAGAGTTTCCCAGAATTACTTAGCATTGTCAAGTGGAAGGTCAAACCAGGAAGGCACAGAAAAGGGTATTTTGAGTTGAGGGTGGACGTGTCTTAGAGGTGCTAGGAAGAACAACTGTGAAGGTTTGAGGGGTGAAGGAGAATTGAGATTCAAGAAAGTGGAGGCTCAGTGTAAAATCCTCTTGTCCAGTGTTCAAGCATGGGAGGCTGGGGAGCATAGGCCTCAGTGCTCCTGAGACACGAGTAGGCCTTAGCTGATGGGGAAGGGATGCTGGAGTCTCAACAGAGAGACATAACTGAGAAGTCCAGGCAGAGATTCAAGAGACTGGGTATCAAGACCACAAAAAGACATCGGCCTTTGATGAGTCTTTGCTTTGAATGTAGAAGGCAATAAGGCTGAGCATACATGAGTGTGTGGGACCCTGGAGAGGGGAGGGAAGGTGGGCAGCAGAGTGTGTACCAGCCTGATAGCCTCTATTTTTTCTCTGCTGTAGGAGGCCAGACCATCTGCCAAGAATGAGAGGGTAGGAGGTGGCATTGGAGGCTCGAGGGGGTGAATGTTTGGAATAGCTTCTGCGTGTCTTTCAGAGCTAATGGGCTAAGGGACCAGGTCTGCTGAGTGGCCTTGGTCATGTGTTGCAGACCTGAGGTTTTAGAGATTCTCTTGATAGCTGAAGGCATGGTCATAGCTGGGACAGAACAGGAGCCAGGGTGGATGCATGGTTTTCTGGTGGCTCTAGTGATGGGCAAGAGCCTACCTTTGTCCAACAATGTATCATAACTTCCATGGGCTAGGAGGACAGCTGTCACTTTGCTCTGTTCAGATCCTCAACTGGATCTTTAAGAAATGATGGCTGTAAAGCCAGTGGCGATAACAGTAATAAAGGTTTGGTATCTTCCTTCCTGAGGTAAGCATCGGATGCTTTTGTTGGGAAATATGTCTGGCAGGTCCTCTGCAGAGCGTTCTGTATACTTTTGGCAGTGGCTAGGGGAGTTTGGGTTAGGAGCACTGGCAGAGTACAGATCCAGGAGGGCAGCCGTAGAAGGTCTGATCCTGCTGCCCACCCAGCCATCAGTGGGACCAGCAGGTCTGGTCCTAGGTGGGAAAGTCTTGTCATGGTTACCTTTGTCCACTGGAAAACCAAGATCTAAATTGGAAAGCTTATGCTGTTTTACACTTGAAATGAGGCTTTTTTCTTTCCCAAGTCCAGATCTAAGTGATATCTTTATTTTAGGGATGACAGAAAGGTGCTCTTACCTGTGTGGCAGGAGAATGATTTACTCCTAGGGGACACTAACGCTACCTTAGGTTGAGGAGCCTGTGTCTGGCGTATCTGCATAGACTGCTGGGCTTCCTTCCATGCCAGTTCCAGTTATCATATGCCTCCAGGCTTGCATCTCACCACAGGAAGGTCAATCTGATTAAAATAATTCCTACTAAATAGAGAGGGACTGAGTGGCTTAGCCTCTGGATATTTGCTTTGTTAGGAAGGCACTCTTATAAATCTGAACGTCTATCTCATATGAGGATGGAGGACAGGAAGAGTTGAAGGCTATTGGCTGTCCCCGCTGGGATGCAATTATTAGAGTATCCATAGAGAAATGATGCAGATGGGATACTCCCATTCTCTCAGGTGTGGAAGCACCTGTACCAGTTGTCCCAAGGTTGACTGGTCTGCTACTTCATCGTTGTTTTAAGGACCCATCTTTAGTTGGCCAGTGGCTTCCTCAGCTTCCTGGTTTGTCCTAACATAGTATCCCTTGTGGACCCCAAACAGCTGCATGGCTGGTATCCAGATGCCAAAGAAGACTTGCTGTCTCTCAAATATTCTTTTCAAAAAAAGAAAGAAAGAAGGAAGGAAGGAAGGAAGGAAGGAAGGAAGGAAGGAAGGAAGGAAGGAGAAAGAAAGAGAGAGAGAGAGAGAGAAAGAAAGAAAGAAAGAAAGAAAGAAAGAAAGAAAGAAAGAAAGAAAGAAAGAGAAAGAAAGAAAGAAAGAGAGAAAGAGAAAGAAAGAAAAGGTTCCCTGGGGGCTTTCTCATTTGTAGTCACTTGAGGTAATGATACCATGGCTGTTCTGGTATTAACTGTCCTGGCAAGAGACATGAGATCACCTTGAATGTGAAGCCCTGACTTCCCTGATGGACAGGAGGATGCACCAGTATCAGCTGAGCCAGAAAGGTGGGGGAGTGGCTCCTGGGTTGGAATCCAGGAACACATGCCACCTAAGTTTTGGTGTTTTCTGCAAACCAGACCCTTGGGGATGGGGCCTGTCTCTGGGACAGAGTGTAGAGAGATGCCGGAGAAAGGGAAGTCACTCAGAGCACAACATCTGACAGTCCTGGTGACACCGGTGACATTGTCCAGGAGAGAGAGGTACAGCCAGGATGCTGTCCCGCTTTGTCATTATCATCCGATCCTGTCCCATGAGCAGTTGAGGTAACTCCATTTCTAGATGCACAGCTAGTGACTCTTATTGATTTGTGTGGCTGCTCGGAGCCAGACTAATTGGGCCCCGAGATTGGAACGGTGATTCAGCAGGAAGGGCTGAGGGGACAGGCACCATCTTTCTACCTGCTGGACAGTGCTTCAGTTCCTTCCTACTCAAGGTGGTGGGAGTTCAGCAGGCCATATTTCCTGCCATGGTCACTGATGGAACAGAGTGGCACTTGAGCTATAAACTGGTGACAAGTCCTTTGTCCCCAGTTCCACAGTACCACCCTATGTTACCATTCTTCTCCACCCCCCCCTCCCATCTCCATCTGCCATTGTCTGTAGAGCTTCTGCAGCTGGTGAAGTACAGCCCTTACTCTGTCACCCACTAAGGGTCTAAGTTGTGATCCATGCCACACCATGCTCGTGCCTCAGTCCCCAAGTGGTCTGATGCATTGAGTCAGAGCTATTTGTTCGCTTGATGTCACTTGTCCTTTCCCAGGGGATGGATGACTGGTGACAGTCCTGTTGTTAACTTTTTGGATAGCATGTTCACAATGTCTGTCATCCTGTTTCTTTCCTAAATGTGCTGATTGAGCAGTGGGTGGCTAGGTAATTCCTGTTATCAGCACAGAATCTAACAGCTGATTTTAGTTAAAAGAAACAGATACATAAATATGCAGGGACGCAAGCCATCCCATGGGAAATTGTGTTTATTCTGTACTTTTGTGTTCTAAAAGGCATGAGCTTTCTAACTTGAGGAAGATAAACTCTTCAAGTGGCAGGCTGTTTAAGTACTCTGAGCAGAGTGTCCGTCCTCATCAGCACCTGTCTTTCCCATCTTGGATCAGTGTGAGCCACCTCCCCCCACCCCCAATGCTTATTTCCATGGAGCATTGTTTCTTTTGTAGCATTTGGTAACAGTAGCCTCAACTCACTGTGTTTTGCTCTTTACCAAAGCTTCCTATTATATCAGCTCACACTGTATTGTATGAAGGTGGGCTAGAAAGGACTGAGAACAACCTGGGACCAGATTCTGGTAGTTATGAACTGTTTTAGGGTTCACAGGGGTCCCAGAAGCACTTTCCTTCTTTGTGAAGCGGGCAGGATGGGTAAACAAGAGTGGGTCTGCAGAATTCCTGTAGCATATAGCTGGCGCAGGGTGGGCCTTAAGTGACAGGGCCTTTCATTTCATTCCTTTGGGAATTATAAATACTTGTTCCTGTGGTCAGGCCTGGTGGTGCATGGTTTTAATTCTAGCTTACGAGAGGCAGAGGCAGGAGGATCTCTGAGTTTGAGGCCAGCCTGGACTATATAGCTAGCTCTAGTATCTCCAACTACATAGAGAGACTCTATCTAAAAAACGAAACACAACAAGCAAACAAACAAAAATCCCAAAACCAACTCTCCCAAACCCAATAAATAAGTAACAACCAATAAAAATAACTGCCACTGGTTTTCAAACTTCCACATGATCTCGTTTTTGATTCTTTTTGTCTGTTTTATGATTGACTTTCCTCTACTGTGAGGCAGGTACTATATAGGGCAATAATTTCATTACCTGTATTTTTCTTTTCTTTTTTGATATAGCATCTCAGTTTGTAACCCAGGTTGTTTGTAAACTCACAGCAATGCTTCTCCCTTAGCTCCCCTTCATGCTGGCATCACAGGCATGGGCCACAGTGTCTTGCTCTATTCTTATTACTTTATCTTGAGGGAGACATTACTGACTGTACCTTGATTGATCAGGCTCCAGATTTGAAAGCAAGTTCTCAGCTACTCTCTGTTCTCAGGAACTCAGAGGTAACCCTAACCCCAGTCAAATCCCCAAGCCCAAACCTAGCTCATTCCCATCACTCAGCCGTGCATGTAATTGTCTCTAAGATGCCGAGTACTTTGAAATATTCATGTGTTCATTTGCTGATTCACTTCTTCATTCATGTGAGTGTCCAATAAACATCTGCGAGTGTTGAGGAAGTGCTGGCTGCTGGTGAAAACGCTGGCTGCTGGGAGGGTTTTATGGAGGAAGTGCATTTGGGGGAAAAAAATTAAAAAGGCAAACAGAAGATAACACCTGTTTTATTTTCGTTAGTAGCATCTGTTGTCAAAAAGAAACCGAAATGAATGTAGTTAGGCTAGGCACTTGGATGCATGAGCAGTGAGCAGGGAAGGTGAAGGAGGGAAAGCGAGACTTGCCCTGAGCTGGACCCCTGCAACTCATGACCCTTCCCTTCCTCCTCTTCACCTACTGGACCTCAGAGGTTGATCAACCCCTGAGCTAGGGGTAAAACCATGCAATTCCTGGGCTTCATAACTGTTAATGAAATTGGAAGTTTACCACCTGACATAGGGGGAGGGTGACCTGCTGTAATATCGAGACTTCTGGCTTCCCTTCAAACTGGTCTCTCATTTAAAAAAAAAGTATGTGTATGGTGTGTGTGTGTGTGTGTGTGTGTGTGTGTGTGAGAGAGAGAGAGAGAGAGAGAGAGAGAGAGAGAGAGAGAGAGAGAGAATGAGAGAGAATGAGAGAGAGAGAATGAGAGAGAATGTGTTCTACTATGGATTTTGGGGATTGAAATCAAGTCATCAGGATGTTCAGTGAGTGCTTTTGCCCACTGAGGCCTCTGGCTGGTCTGCAAACCTCTCATCTGAAGAGTAGATGCTCCCTTTTTCCAGCTTGATTTTTTTTTTCAGAGTTTTTAGGTATCTGTGGTTCAGCTACCCACAGCCAACCCATCCATTCAGTACAAAAAGAAAACACAATTTTGAGAGACTGCATCTGTATAATTTTTATTACAGCATATTATTATAATTACTTCTTATTTTTCTGATTTGCTATGCCTCATTTATGAATTATAAGCCTTTATGTATAGGAAAGAACAGGAAATAAAGGGCTATATCATCTGTAGTTTTGGATGCCCACAGGGTTATTGTATTTTCCCCTGGTAAGAGGGCCTGTGTAACCACTGCCGGACCCACCACCCACAGTGACTTGGAACCCAGATCTGCAAGTGCTGTGAAGGTTTGGGGTTATGGATTAATGTACTAATTAGTTATTAGCAATGAATATTAATAAAGTGTCTGCCTTTGTGATGAATGGCATAGAGTTCTAATGGTGACCAATAGCCTTAGGATTGACTAATTATATGAATGAGTAGTGATGGAAAAACCTTTAAAATTTCAGTATGTTTGGATATTAAGGATAATTAAAAATTTCATAAATAGCATGAAGTATAGAAAGCAGTGAGTAATGGCTGCTTGGTCAGCCATTTCCCCCAGCACAGACCTGTGTAGGCTCCTGTAGGACACTCTATGGAGACCCAGGTTTGGCCCAAGATGTCAGGTGCTGGTTGTCTAAGTAAGGGGACTCATGGGCTGCTTTCCTGAGCCCTCCTGAGCCTTTCTCCTGAGCCTCTAGGTGAGGCTCAGCGTATAAACCTGAGCAAAAAGCCTCAAGGTTTTTTGTTTATTTAGTTGGTTGGTTGTTTTTTTATTTTTTGTTTTTTGTTTCTGTTTTTGTTTGTTTGTTTGGTTGGTTGGTTGGGTTTTTTTTTGTTTCTGTTTTTGTTTTTGTCTGGACTTGGACCCAGAGAAAAGAATTCAGCTGCTTTCCCTGATCCCCCAGGCTGGGCTTAGGCCTGGGACAGCCATTATTATTTTTTACACACTTGCTCTGTCCCTACTTCAGTGGCAGCTGAGGGTCATCCGGGGATGCCTGATGAGATGTGGTATGCATAGGCTGTTCTGTTCAGGTGCCTGGGTCTGATGCACAGTACCCTGGCCCACTGTGTGTTTCATGAGACACAAACAGAAACACAGCAAATGAAGTCAGTTGTGGTAAGGTCACAGGTCTAGCCCGTGAGTGACTAGACAAGACTGAAAAGAAATTAGACAATGGCCCAGTGTAATTAAAATTGGTTTGGTCGAAATTAACCATGTTAACCCAGTGTGATGGTTCTCAGAATGCCACCTGGTACATCACAGAGGACATAAGGTTTCAAACAAAGCAGCACATGCCCTTTGGGTGATGGTTTTGCAATAGATTTTGAATTTTCTGTTTCTCACGTGTCTAGTACAGTGTGTATAACCAGCACCAATGGAGGTACAGAATCTGCCTGTCAGTGGGGGTTCAGAGAGTCCTTCTGGAGTTTGGAAATGGAGTGTAGAAAGTGAGTGGACACTGTCACTGAGCCCACCATGCCTGTGAGACCACAGTATGTGTTTGGCTCCTCCCACTGGGCTCTTGTCCTCTGCTTCTGATGTTCAACTCACATCATCAGAGCCACACCCAGATGCCAGGTCAGATTCTCTTCCCCCTGCCCCCATCTCATCAAGTGTCAAAATGCTGCGTTCTTCATTTAGATAGACAAGCCTTAGTCTTGTCAAGCCTGTGTGCTTCTTTATTCCATTTTTTTTTTAAATTGTGAAGTCTTACTTTATGCAGACAACAGAAAATAAGGCAGAGTGAGTATAAAAAATTCTTGGGACCAAGAGTGTTCTGGGCTCCTTTGGATTATGGAATTTTACACCTATATAATGAGGCATCTTGGGGATGGTCCCATGTCTAAAGACAGAATTCATTTAGGTCTCATATACATTTTACACTTGTAGCCTGAAGGTAAATTTTATATAATAGTTTTAGTGCTCTTGCATTTTGAATGCAGCCTGTCGTGAAGTCAGGGGTGGACATTTCCATGTATGATGTAATGTGGGCACTCAGGAAGTTTCAGGTCTTGGGACACTTCTAATGCCAGAACCTTGAGTCAGGCATGCTCAGTCTTTATCACAACTGCCTCAGTCCCAGCCTCGAGCCTTTAGCAAGTGAAGGTATCAGTGGAAGCACTTCTCTACCCTTTATAAGTAGGTCAAGAACAGTTCTGCCTAAGGATTTCGGTCAGTTCTTGAGAGCTTGCCCACCTACCATGTACAAGGCCCTGGGTTTAGTCTCTGGCACCAACAACCACCATTGCCAACAAAACAATGACAAAATATGAACAAATATGGGTGTAGTCACAGCACAGATAACAGAAGCTGCCTTGTGCAAGGCTTCCTCGCTGTACAGATTTGGAAAAAAAAATCACAGGCACTCTCAGAGCCCCGGTTCATGACATGACATGTACCTACATGTCTCCCATTATTGTGTGGATTTGGAGGAACATTAGCATTCAGCATGATGCTGGGTACCCAGCCAGGCAGTACCTAGCCAACAGTTGCCAAGGTTACTTCTGGATGCTGTTAGCTTCTTAACATCTTGGACTTGGTACAATTATAGTGACAGAGGCTAGGAGAACAGTTTCCTCTCCCGTGTGTACTTCAGGGGAGACCCAGGCACTGGGTCTTTCTATACTCTCCCTTGCTCTGATATAATGACACAGAGACCTGGTATATTTATTAAAAAGCTTCTTGCACTTTAGCTGGGCAGGGTTCTCATCTATTTTAACCCAACTATGTCGGCCTGGCCTACTTCCCAGCCGCTTACCATCTTAGTCTTGTTCTGGCTGCTCCTGCTCCATCCATCCTTCCCATGATGACTTTTCCTCACAGCCTCTTGTGGAGACTCCCTCATGGCGACCTCACTCCTCTCCTTCTTCCATCCAGGATCCCCCTCACTGGGAACAGAAGCCTCACCTATTCGCTCCTGCCCAGCTATTGGCTGATCAGCTCTTTATTAACCAACCAGAGGTGATGGAAAACAGTTTTTACACAAGAGTGAGACAGGAGATGCTTGACAATGCCAACATCTGTCAGGACTGTAATCAGATCTCTGGGTACCATAATCAGCATCTGAATACACAGTACACAAAACCATTCCCTAACAGAGTAGGAAGTGTACCTTCCTTGGTGGGTGCCATGGGCTGACTGACAGGTTGCTTGGTATATTTCAGGTGCTCGTGCTGGCTGTGAAACAACTTTTCCCAGATTTTGAATTCATGTGGCTGGTGGATGAAGCCAAGAAGAACCTGCCTCTTGAGTTGGACTTCCTAAATGAAGGGAGGAATGCTGAGAAAGTGGCCCACATGCTCAAGCACTTTGACTTCCTAAAGGTAGGAGGGCGGGGCAGTTGGGGATGAGTGTAGGGGTTGATTGGGTCCTACCCTGGCTATCCATTCTTAGAGAGTGTGACCTGGGGCATCTATTTGGCAAAGTTTCTTACTTAAGGTCAGTGATTTGTAATTGGAGACCCATATTAAAGCACTTGAAGGCAATTTCCAAAAGAATGAGCCCTAATGTGATGGTTGACCCGCCAGACAAATGAGTAGCTCTTCATTGGGTAATCGACACTGAGTACCCCATGGGCCTGTGTGTTGTGGCCTCTGCCTCAGTAGAACATAGAGTGATAATGGTGACGGTGACAGCTAACACTTCTATACTCTGATCCTGCCCCAAAGATGCATGTTACATTTGCTCCTGTAATACGTAGTTCTGTTACAACAGTGTTGCTAGCCATCACTACAGTATGCAGAACTATATATACAACAGAAGCCTCAGGCTTCCCCAGAGAAGCAGGCCTGGGACACAACACTCCATAACCTCCTCAGTGACACAGAAAAAGAAGTATAAGGCTTTAGGCCCTCAAATGTGTGTTCACTTGCACGGACCAATTTTCTTCTTCCTTATCCTGTATTTATTGTTGTCTTGATCTCTTGGTGTGTTGTGGGAGACTGGTTGGCGCTGCTCTAGAAATTTCCCACGTAATGGGAGCAAGCAGATACATTGTTTCCTGTCTTACAAAGTGTTTTGCACACCCTAGACCTTTATCTTTATTTCAGTGACTTCCTGTGAGGAAATGCTTAATCCACCCAGGGCAGGGAGCTCAAAAGGCCCCCAAAAAGTGCTGATTACAGAGAGGACACAGTGTGTAGCATTTCAGTGTCAGGCACTGTAACTCTGATGGAGTTTTGACATATTCTGATGGTGACCCCTTCCAACCCATTCCCATACACAGCTGTGTCTTGGGTAGAGGTCTAGTTTTATCCCAGGCTCTCTGACTCTGTGTCTGCTGTTCACCTCAGAGTTTCTGCCACCTTTAACCTGGCAGAGGTGCCCCTTAGTGCCAGAGTGCCGAGCCAGACAAACCCAACAATCTCCTCCACTGTTGCCATGGAAACAGCAGAATCATCCTCTGGCTGGAGCCAACTAGCAACTCCCAGACCAAGACATGTAATAATAATAATAACACAACACAGATTTTTGAAACAAGGATGCCAAATTGCTAAATAATTAACATACTGATCTGACCCACTGTTGCCAGAACTCACATACCATTCCTAAGACAATGGAGGAACGAAGGCTCCTGAGTAATTAATTTTGCCTAAGCACATCATAAGCAGGAAGCAAATTCTGCACTGTGAACCCAGCTCAGCTTTTAAAACTGTAGATAGATTGCTCTTGCATTATGGCACCCCATCACAACATCTGTGCGTAATTAAGCCTCAGAAAAGAATTTGCCTCTCATGTGTGAGGCCTCTTCCAGTGCTTAAGGGGGACTTAATATCCTCGACCCTTCACAGTAAATCTTTGGGTCTCAGCCCATCTCTGAATAAAATGGAGAGGAGACTGGAAGAAGGTGAAGGAAGGGCAGCCATACTGAACAGTACAGATCTGAGCATGCATGGAACAGGGCTGTGCCAGACAATCAGGTTTGTGATTAACCTGAGGGATAGTTGGGGACAGGCAGGAAGGAAGAAGCTGTCTAAGCATAGGTTTGGAACTAGTATAGATAAGATCTCAAGTGGGGACGAGTGTGTGTCGCATCAGGCAGGGTCACTCCAGATTTTTTTTTTGTGTGTGTGAAGTCAGGAGCCTGAGGTCATATGTGAACTCTTGGAGAAGTGTCATAGCTCATTAGACTTTCAAAGATGAGCAACCTGTATGATAACATCCTACCTTTCAATGTGTTAGACACTCCTGAAAGTGTTTCACATGTATTTACCATAGTGGCCTCACAAGGGAGGTGCCGTTTTAAACCCTGTGTCATCTAGGGAAGCAGAATTCTCAAGTGATCGAGTCATTAGCCCAGTAAACCAGCAAGAGGCAAAAGCAGGGTTCGAGTGGAGACAGAGTGGCTTAATGCCTGTACATCAAACTGTGTAGTACTTGTTTGGAACATTTCTGAATCATAAAGACAACTAAGTTTGCATGACTGTGCGAGGGTATGGCATTGACTCAGCTCTGAGGTGGATTAGGATCTTCATGGATCACTGCATAGCTGTCACAGGATAGCCAGTGTTTGACCAGTAGCTCAGCATCTGGTCCTGTGTGGGGCCCCTGTTCTCTTTCTATGCCAGTGGTGAGTGAGGTGAAGCAGGTTCTTCTGTAACCATCCACATCATCTGACTAGGGGCACACTTGGCCTCAGAGAAATTATGCATGTGTCCACAGTCAATACAGCAAGTAGGAGGCCGAGCTCTGTTCTGCTTGGCCAGGCTCTGACTTCAGAAGGACTGTATCCTGGAGGGTAGGCAAGGCTCCACAGCAAGAAGAGTAGAGGTGCATGGTCAGGCCTCACCACAAGGCCCAGGCTACCCAAGCAAGGATGTGGAACTTTTTATAGCCCACTTTTTGGGGTTGGGGTGGTCTTGATGTGGGAGCAGGTGGAGCTCTCAGGTGGGCCTCTGTGGGGGCTGTCCAGAGGTGGCCCTGCTGGGGCCAGTGAGTCCCTGGTGAGATGCTTTCCAGAGTTTGCTTGCTTTATTGCCAGGTGTCAATGTTTGTGTCTTGCTTTTCCCTTGCTGGATGGAAGAAGGAGATGGGTAGTGGTGACACAAAGCCATCTGGGGACTTGAGGACAAGTCATGCATTTTGCACTTTGTGATTCTGTGGACGTTTCCATGTGATAATCCAGCCCCCTTTCCAGCCCTGAGTTGCTAAGGAAAAGGGCGTGCGATTATCAGACCGGAATGGTCACATCACAGAGAATGAAGGTATAGCAGGGAGGCCCTGGCTTATCCCTGCCCCTGCCCAGGCAGCCCAGAGAGACTTCACCTTGGACTTGCACCCCACCATTGGTGATCTCCTGGCTGTCCTCCAAATGACCCAGTAGGTCCTTCTGGGGCTCTGGTCTAATGTTTACAGAGCCCCAAGGCCTACTGCCAAGCTCAGGTTTCCAAATCAATGGATGCACTAAACCAAAGGTACTCAAGTACTGTACGTTTCCTCTGTAGACCAGGAGCAACTGTGATGACAGACATGGACTTGTTTTGAGTTGACAAGTGTATCACAATCTTACATTCAAAAGAATAGAGAGACATAGATGTCTTGATCAGCCTAGATTTCCAAATGGTGAAAATGTAGTTTAGGTTCATCCGGTTCTCAGCACAGGGGCATCACATGTGGGTCGTGCCACACTCTGAAGGGCCCCTTGAGAGGAAAGGAAACTGAGGCATAAGGTAGGAGAGTGATAGACTGTATAACTTTCTCAGAAGAACTAGAAGTATGTAGAAGTAGTACTATGGACTTGAGGGCTCTCTAGATGGGTCTTGGGGCTTGGGGAGGGGAGGACTCAGTCTCTGAAACACTTGAATTAGCTGCCCTTGGTTTTTCTCCTTAAGAGAAAATTGTCATCAAAAGTTTGGAGAAATAGCATGCCGAAAGCATCATGGCTTTGGTGGTGTCACCTGCTTAATGAGGGCACCTATGGTGCCCTCTGACCCCTTGCTGCTCCTGAGGGAATCTGTTCTATTTTGCTTTTAGGAGTTTTCAGAATCACAGAGAGTAGGAATATACTAGTTAGTATATGATTTGTTTACAAATAACCGGAGCCCAATCCAACAGGTTTTTTTGTTGTTGTTGTTTCTTTCTTTGTTTGTTTTGAGACAGTGTTTTTCAGTGTAGCCCTGGCTGTCCTGGAACTTGCTCTGTAGACCAGGCGGCTCTGAACTCACAAAGATCCTGCATCTACTTCCCTAATGCTGGAATTAAAGGATTAAAGGAGTATACCACCACTGCTAGCTAGTTTTTTTTGTTGTTGTTGTTGTTGTTGTTGTTACTGTTTTGGTTTTGTTGTTTTATTTCTGTTGGTTTTTTTTAAATGCTTATTCTCAGGTAGGGCTAGAGAGATGGCTCAGACGTTATGAACATGCACTGTTCTTCCAGAGGACCCAAGTCTGGTTCCCAGTAACCATATCAGGTGGCCTACAACTGCCTTTAACACCAGCTCCGGGGGTTACAAAACCTCCTGCCTCCTTGGGCACCTGTGTTCACGGGTACATTATCCACCAGCCCCCCATACACATCATTAAAAATAATTCACAAAATGTTTATTATTTTTGTAGAGAAGGCATGCAGCAGTTGCCTGCTGATGGTACTTGGTACTGTGACAGCATCTAGGCTGACTTCCTTTTCCTTCCTTTACCCTCTATGGCTACAAGATGGCTGTTTCTGTCCCAAGAATCACATTCATTTTCAGGGTGGGAAAGAAAGAAGGGAATAGTACCACAAGCATCCGTTTATGGAGAGAAACTAAACCTTTCCTGAATCCTCTAACAAATTGCCGCTCACATTTGATGGGCCAGAACTGCATCATGTAACCACCTGCTGTAGGGCAGGCAGGGAACAGGTTTCAGTTCCCCACATGTAGGGAAGAGAAAGATGGATAATAGACATTGGATTAAGATCCAGCATTGTCTGCCACAGGAGACTTGTAAGAATCTAGCAGAAAACAGAATTTATCCTCTGGTTCAAACTCAGTTTATTGCTTCAATAGATCCATTTCCCAGGTGCAGAAACTGTAGCAGGGTTAGGGCCAAGCAAGGGTCTGATGGAGGGAGAGGCAGAGGGAAGCAGTTCTTAGCATTGGTGTTAGCTATGTGTGCAACACTGACCACAGTGCCCAATGGAAACAACCTAAGGAAATAAAGATTTGTTCCAGCTTCAGAGGATGTCACTCATCATGGTGGTGAAGTCATTGTGAGCTTGTGGCTAAGAAGGGAATACTGGAGGCTCTTTCCATCACATGGGTCCAGGAAACAGAACTTCAGATACAGGGCTGGGCTCCTGTATCAGAGACCCGCATTGAGTGCAGCCTTCTTCCACCAGCCAGGAGCTACCTCCTGAAAGTTCCTATATATCTCAAAATATCATCACCAGCTGAGGACCAGGTTCTAAAGCATGATGAGCCCGCAGTGAAGATTTCTAGTGAAAGTTTTAATAATAGCAGCTTCCAGGTAGGAACATTTCTCTCCCAAGTACACATTTCTGTTATAGTGTGTGGCTTACAGTAAGATGGAGGAGGAGTAGGGGTGAGAGGTGAGGGCTATGGAAGGTCAGGGGTTTAGAGAATGGCAGTGGGGGGATGATGAAGTTGCTTCCATGTTCATGAAGGACTTGTGAAGGAGTTCTGCTATAAGGGCACCTGGCTGAGGCATCTGACTAGTTCTTACCCCAGCTCTCTCTGTCAGTGGTTCCACCCAAACTGCGGTATGTGCCACTGTCTGGCTCCCAGCACTTTATTAGGGGATGGTCCTGCTCACAGCCTCCTCCTCTGATGTAACTCACCCTTTCTTTCTGCAGGTCCCCCAGATTCACTGGGAGCTGTCTACCAAGAGGGTGCTCCTGATGGAATTTGTGGAGGGAGGTCAGGTGAACGACAGGGCTTACATGGAGAAGAACCGGATCGATGTGAATGAGGTGAGGTGGGGGCTGGTACTGGGACAGAGAGACAGAGGGACAGTATATGGTTGGCCTAGGCCTGGGCTCTGGGGTCCTAGAGCCCAGCCCACTGCCTTTACAAGAATTACACATCTATCAGGAAGAGTTCTTCCACATTTTCCCATCTGTTCCTGGGCCTGGAGTGGAGACAGGGTCAAGCCAGCCTCCCTGAGCATGAGGTTGCTGCTGGCTTCTTTTCTCACAGCAGCTAAGTCCATACAGATGGGTGAGCAGCATAGCGCTGCTCATCAACTCCCACCCGACATAGAGGACTACAGCCATCACCTGATCCGTTTCACAGAGCAAGGGAGAAGACAGAGTTGTGTCTTCACCTCCTGTTCCCCTGCAAAGCCAGGGAAACAGGCTTGTGGACCAGGTTCTGTCCTCAGCCTTCTGCTTCTTAGTCACCACAAGGTCCCTAGGAAAGAGGGGGTTGTCCTTTTTCCACCCACATCTATTGTTAATACAGTCCCTTCATGTACAGGGTCTGGGTGTTCAGAACCGCCATGTTGGAGTCAGACATTATCAGCTAACTCCTCAGATGGGATTATAACCACGATTAGAACCCAGGCCCTTTCTCCTCCACCTTCTTTTCTATCTCCCTCCCACAGACCCATGTGGGTCCACAGTAGAACTTGCAGCCACTTGATGGTTATTGATCAGTAACTGTCAGGAAATTGGCGGCAGAAAGGCTGAATAAGCCCGTTTGTTAGCAGCACGCTGAGAATATCCCATTGTTCCCTTTGCTTTCAGCTCCTAGGGTAGGGAGGAGGACAGTGTCTGGGTCGCTCACAGAGTCTGGCTACAGTGGGGACTGATTGGCCTCACTGGGAGGTCAGCTCTAGAGTCTCCCTACAAGGAAGCAGAGCCTCTGCTTGCTAATTGGGAGACCCAGCATCTGTGTCTTGTGTCATCACTGGCCTCTCCTTCTACTGGAGATGGACTTCCAGTCTGGGGGCCACCCCCATCCATTCATTTCTTTGGATCTACCAAGCTAAGGCTGAAATGGCATCTCATCAGAGAGGGCTCTGATTTTTCCAAGATGAGTGTAAGCACAGAAGTATGTGTTCTGATGCTGTGGCTTGCTTGTGACTGAGCCAGCTGGAGACCAGTGTACTCTGGGCAGGGTGGACTCTGAGTCTGGACCTCTTTCTCCCTGCCACTGGGAAAAGATGGAGAGACCTTAGTAAACATCTGCTTTTTCAAGAATGAAGTAAGGCAGTCCTACCTCTCTGGCCCTCAGTTCTCTTAGTGGAGGTGATGATGGACCAGCTGACCTCCAATTAGGATCCTTTGTATTTGAATATTTTATAGACCAGTGACTCTATGGCTTAGTGAATACTGACTGGCTCCAGAGCCATCTATTTCAGAAGTGTTGGGGCAGTGTAGCTATGCAGATTCCTGGGAACCAGCCCTGGGTACACATGAGAATCTGGGATGGGAAGGGCTGCAGAGTGTTCAAGTGAGTCTGCAGTAGATATCACCCCTTGAGCTATCTGTGCTCACCTGAACTTGTACATGCAGCACTACCCTCCAGTACTCACCTAGGAGCCAGCAGCCTGCTGGGGCTCCTCTATCTATATACCTGACCATGGTAGTGTATACATCCAGGGTCATATTTGCTAGTAACTTTAGGAGATGGTGACACTGGTTGCCATTGAACTCATTAAAAACAAAGGTTATGTGGGAGCCTTCTGCAGGCAGATGGGGCTTCTTCTAGCCACAGAGGACTATTGAGTGTAAGACCTTTATTGAAGGTTAACTGAATTTCAGTGAGTGTGTGTCGAAGACCCTGCCAGGGCTGAGGCCCAGCTTAATCGGCATGCAATTAGCCAAGAGAAAGGTGACTGAATTGGTAGTACAGGGTAGCAGGGACAGACGTAGGGGACCTGGTGGGCAGATATCACCTGTCTATGAAGGCTGACTGGATCCAGAGACCCTGGGGACAGATTCCACCAGTGAGGTATTTCCTTAGGGAGAGAGCCAGTTGGAAAAGAGGGCCATAATTACATGGTCTTGGATTAGGCCCTGGTCATCAGGATCCCAGATAGAGGAGGAGAACTGTGGAGTCTGTCCCTTCATTGTCCAGGGTGAAAACTTCTGTTAGAGTAGGGATGGATTTAGGACTGAGCTCAAACCCTTACAACCTTCTAACTCATCCTTCCTTTTAGGACCCTCAAAACCTATTTGCGGAGATGCCAGGTACTGAGCCTCCTTGGAGTTGAGATCGTAGTCACAGAGCAACTGTAGCTGGCTCAGAGCTCTTCAGTCTTTGCTCTGTTACCACCTCTTCCCATCTGTCCCAGGCCATTGTCCTCTTATCTCACATTGGCTGCTGTGGTTATGCCTTCTGCTCTTCTTGTCCTGAACGTTTTGCCTCTTCTTTCTCTCTGAAGTCATTTTGGAGGCATTTGCAAGGGAGTGGAGCAGATGGCTTTGTTCCCCGTGTCGCCAGAAGCCCTTACTGTGTTTACTTCTTGCAGTAGCTCCAAAGTCCATTCCTGTCATTGTAGGAACAGTGAAGGATTACAGAATCACCTTTCAGTGTATGTTTTGAGTGCCTACTATGTGTAGGCACTGCCCACTTGTGCTAGAATAGAAATGTGGACAGAACCAAGCATGGGGCTTCCAAGAGGCCTAGTGCTAGACAGGCTGGGTACCTGAGGATGCCTGGCTCTGCCATTCATTGCTCTGGTACCCTTGAGTCAAGTTCTTGAGATATGAGGCTGTGGGACATATGCCGTCACGTGAGCTTTATAAGTAATACGGCCATGTCAGAACATTTCCTAATTCATGAGGGTATTACTTATGGAGGCATCTCTTCCTCCATAGAATCCTTGAGAACCTTTCTTCCCTTCCTGTCCTCTGTCTCTGATGTGTGAATGCATAGACTTGGATGTGCTTGATTGGCATGCAATGCCGTCAATTCAGAAAAGCTGAAGTCTCTCCTTTTCCCCTGATTACCTTTGCTTCTGTCACTGCTGCATGTGGACAAAATAGGACTTCTCATTTGTGCTCAGCATCATTCCAACCTCCTGGCCCTTCCAGCTGGCTGGATCCTGAAGACACTGAAAACCCAGTTTTTGAAATCACTAGAAGGAAAACAGTTTCTCCTCCCTAACCCCCTTCAAATTAGGATGCTCATGAGTGTTAGCGGAGTTTTCAGTGTTAGGAGTTTAGTTCCTGAGGATTTGTTTGTTTTCTCACAGCAGAGGTATTGATTGGTTAGGCCAAAGGAGTTTTCTGCAGCCCAGTGCAAGCCATCATTTGTCAGCTGTTCTGCTGTGGGGTTGCTATTCTTTAGGAACACTGGTTTCCCTGTCTGCAGTTGACTACGGGTGACCTAGAGATCTTTTGACAACTGAAGCACAGCACACTTGGCACAGCCTCAATACACAATGCCACCGAAACTCCATCTCTTGGATGTCCTTGGTGCCACCAGGACAGTGTTTGTCAAAGGGCAGGGGAAATAGAGAGCAACGAATCCTTCCCCTGGCTTTTTACAATGACCCAAGCAAGGTGTAAGGGTATGGAATCTGTGTAGGGTGAGTTGTCAGCCTAGTACCAGGTGCCAACAGGAGTTCCTTCCTCTCATGTGTGTTCTTAATGGTTGATGACCCCTGGGACTCCCTTTTGCCTCCTCTGGACTTGGGGTACTTTGTAGAACATCTCCAGTAGAGATTCACAGACTTTCTTGCCTCAAAATGCTTGTGTGTGGCTCTCATGTGAAGCCTGGTAAGGCCTGATTAAAGAAGCTGCATTGATTTTCTTGTGACAAGATACTGGAGTTAGAAAAGTAACTTGAGGATGGGTTTATTTTGGCTCATGGCTTCAAAGGTTACATCAACCATGGCAGGGAAGACATGTCGATTGGAATGGTTCTATCTATAGACGGGGCCATGACACGGAAGCCATATGGCCAGAGATCAGAAAGCAGTGGTCTGAGCCAGAACCAGCGGTGGGTATCACTTTATCACCTGAAATGATCTTTCACTAGCCAGGCCCCACTTGAGAAAAACTCCATCTCCTTCCAAATGATGGCACAAGCCTGGGACTAAGTACTGAAATCGTCACCCTGTGGTGGGGTGTTTAAGGCTTAAGTCTAAACAGAAGGCTTTCCAAGTGCCACCATCAGAGCTACCTCTCAGTCTTCTGTGACCCACTGGCACCTCTCTTCCTGTCCCTACTGCCACTGTGTGAGGCTGAGGAGTTCACAGCTGGGTGTTCAGAGACATCATCTCCCAGGTTGCTCATCCAAGATCACCATGTGTCATGAATGCATTGCCTGCAGCACTGGGCAGCTGAAGACGCCTGCAGTGTCTAGATCCCAGTGTTTGTTCCTGGGGACAGGGAGAACATGATGGTGCTGTGTCCCAGGCAGCAGGCTGGTCTGTATGGAGAATCTAGCAGGCTCTGGGACAGATGCTACAACAGCAGTCTTGCTTTCCTCTCACAGACATGGGCCTTGCTTCGGAGATACCCCCACCCAGGAACATACATAGACTTTTCCTTGGGGGTAGGAATGAATTAATTCACACAATTATAGGCCAATTAAACTACTTTCAGCCAATTCAGGCCTTGAGAAAAGTCCTAAAATAACTCCTTGATTTAAATATTATTTACTCAATTAATTCTTTACTCAGCCTTTTTATGGAGTCCTGGTTTTTCCCTCTCCCCCACTGTTAGGGAAGAAAGGCATTTGTAATTAATGAAATCCCATATGAGTGGCACGTTCTTTTCACAAAGAACAATTCAGACTTCCCCGTGGCTTCTTAGTAAAGAGCGCTGTCCTGTGCCTTTGCTTAGAGGTGTGGACTGGGAGAGTCACCAAGCCAGATTTTCCTACCAACATCCTTTTCTTTAGACAGACAGCTTACTGGATGCCAATGTTCCTCAGAAGTCAACTTCTAGGGAGCTTCCCTAAAGTGGAGAGGCAGGTGGCCTGGCATTGAGCTCCTCTTCTCTGGAGTCAGGTCACT